CCTTTATGATTCCTATGCTTGGTAGACAGAGTATCACAATTACTTCTACTTTCCAACATTCTAACATGCAGATCTGCTTGGCAATGGAATGGACTACTTCAGAGGAGTGAGTTCCTCATCACTAAAGGGTTACAGCAGACACTCATGATACTGGCAGAGAATCCATGTGTCAGTTTAGGACAAACTCAATAATCTCCAAGATCCTTTCACAATCCTGAGATACAATATCTTTTTCCATCTTACATTGCCTTTATTTACATTTTTTTCCTATCCTAATGCTACCCATTCTTTGCAGTCTATGTCAGGTAGCACCTTTTCCCCAAATAATATTATGCTCTGTGACAGTTAGGAGGAATTGGTGAGCTATATTAAAAAAAAAAAGTATAAATATTTTTTAGCTGAGTACTTGGCATATGCTTAATTCTTTTTTTTTTTTTTGCTTTCCTCCACAATGCTAATAATTTACATTAATCTCTTTTCTGACCTCCAACAATATTTGGCTGTAACAAAAAATTAGTAATTGTTTTCTACGGTCATATTTTTGGAATACTTGATGCTCTACATTATCTTTAAATGAATTAAAGACTAGAATCAAATCTTTTATTTCTGTTTCCCACAGTTTATAGACAAGGGCTGAACACATAATGGTCAATGAATATGGAGAAGGTAATCTTTATAAAGGGGAATCAACATAAATCAGTTTAAAAATCACACTGTATTTAATCTTGTTACCCCAATTTAGTATTCATATGGCCTGGGAAAAGTCTTATTCTTCAGTTTCCTCATTAAAATATGGGGTCAAATATCCCTACTTCGCCTTCCCAAGTGTACTGTTATAACTAGATAATTGGGTAAATATGAAGGACCATTCAAATAACACGCTTTGATTTGGTTGCCCATTTAGTTGCAATTTAGCATGTTTGGAGAGTTCACAATGCAAAGGGCAGTTCTTCAGCTCACCGTCCTGATGACAAATGTTTTTTTCTCTGTCAAAAAGCAAAGCAAATCGCAGGCTAACGTGATATTCAGTGTAACTGTTCTGTATGCATCATAAGGAATAAAACTAGCTCACGTCTGAAATGAGTAATTGGGGATTTCAAGTCTCTGGGAAACAATGGATCACCCCAGTCCTCCATTAGGGCTGTGGTTTTGGGGCCACCTCGCAATGCCCAGGGGCTCCTCAGACCTTCTGAGATTATTGAGAGGTCCTCACAGACCTCTGTCCAGCATAAGCAATTGTGTCAAAACACAATCGTAAATGCTTTATTTGACAACATGATGGTTATTTAAGGCCAAAGCTTATAATGGTCGACCTCATTGCAATCTCTGTTTAACCAGCCTAGAGAGCAGTTCAATCCCTGCTCCATGCATCTGTCAGAATTATCTGCCTAAAAACACAAATCTGAATCACATTGCTCGCTGCTGAATTTGAAATACAACCCCCATTCCACAGCTCAGAAATCAGTGGTGTCTTTTACTTTTTAATGAGGTCTCTGCTGCTTCCCTTTAAATTTATTCAACAAATATGGACCTCTTGTATACTATGTGCCCTCACTGTTGCTGTCAGGGCTAGTGGTTCCTCACTGTTCCTGAAACACGCTCTAAATTCTTCAGCCTTGCTATCTTCGCTTCACCTGTTTGCTCTGTCTGGATTGTAGCTTCTTCTCCTAGCCACCTGGCAAGAACCTGCCTATCCAGGTCCCGTTCAAATGCCAGCTCCTCCTGTCAGCTGTACGCAGAGTTCTCTGGTGACAGCACTGGTGCAGATCACCAACTGGCCTAGCCTGCTGTCTGTCCCTTTAATTGTGCTTTCTTAGGGGTGAAGGGCTGTGCCTTTTACCTTGGATCCCCCACAGCACTTAGCTTATAAAATGGAATTGAACTCAAAATCTTAAGGATAGCCTCACTAATTTGCCACATTCAGTTAATTCATCATCATTGCCAAAAAAGTGATATTGGATCAAATATTTATGGACTAACAGATTGCATAGACCCTTTTAACAAGTGGCTCCATTAATGGACTCACTCTAAATCAGTTGTATTGCTGGGTTTGTAAAACATGGCCTAGCAAAGGGGGCAAGAGAAATAAAAGCATTTGCATTATAGATGTTTTTAGATTTCAAAGCAAGCGCTATTATTTTTTAACCTGATATGATTATATGTTTATTCATTTTCTTAAAATGCCACCCAAAAGCACTATTTTATTTAACACATAACAATGTGCATTGTATACAGATGTTATAAAAGCTACATATACAAATTTGCCCAGAGCTTTATCTACAAACCAAAGGCTGTGTGTATAAAAATCAGCAGTGCAACTAGCTGAAGGTAGAGAACTTCATTAAGCTATACAAGCCTAAATATCATAATCACTGGTATCTTTATTTTTTTCTTTTGTTCAGAGGTTTGGTTGATTCATGTGACACTGCAGTGTTAATGTGCTTAAAAAGCATACCCCCCCTTTCTCCTCTGATTCACCCCCACACAATCACCTGCTGGTGGGTTAGGTCCCAGAGCAGTTAATCAAGAGAGAGCTCCAGCCAAAGGTACAATCTATTCTGCTTAAGTCCTTGAATTCTGTTTAGGTTTCTTACTCTGCTGGGCCAGCCTAGACCCCTGAGGCCTCTTCAATGGCTCTCCTTTGAAACTCAGCACAGGCCACAGATCACCCCACTTGACTCTCTTTTGGGTCCTGTCCTGTCCCTCTTATTTTTAGAGTCTTCGATTGGCCACTCATTCAGGAGATAGCCACAAGTCCAGGGGTCTTCCCAAATCTCCCTTCTGTATAACACTTTCGTTCCTCCTCCTCAAACATATTACTTCTCGGACATATTAATTCACAAGGAGAAGCACGGTAGGGGAACAGAATTCATTTCTTTTTTCTCTCTGCCTTTTCAGTATCATAAAATGGAGTTCTCTCCAGCTATGCCCCTGAAGCCATCCAGGACCCAATCAGTGTTTGAGGAAATTGGGAGAAAATGGATAGATGATTTATTTTACACCTTCCAGTTCTGAAGCTTCCAAATTTTAATATATATATATATATACACACACACACACACACACACATATATATATATATATATTTATTTATTTATTTATTCCATATATACTAAAAATGATAAGTCCTATATTACCTCAAACCTAAATATTTTTCTCACTTCTCAATGTGATAATTTGTTTTATTCTTCTATCCTATAGTTTGTTATCCCTGTCTACAATCCAGAGCCTAGTTTTAACAAGGCTTGTAACAACATGGGTTAACAAGGATTAAGAAGTCCATTGTGTACGTTTCAAGGGCAGGAGTAGCACGTAGGTAAAGAGGAATATAGCTGGTGCTATTAGCTGCCAACTCTATGAAAGGGATTAAAGGTATTTACTGATACAAATGAATGACATCAAACTAAAGTTGCAATGTCTAAGAGACAAAAATAAGAATTAATATAATTTGATCAGGATCATTAATTTCTCTATTGGTATTTTAAAACAAAGAGGGGGACAGCTTATATAAAGAAAAAGAACACTATTCATTTCAGACATATTTCCACTTTATATATATGATCACTTCAAATGAATGTTTACCGATAATCCTGAGAAGATATACCTTTGATGGTATATTTTTTGTTTTCAAATGTAATATTTTTCTATCACATTTTTCTGGATCTGTTTTGTGACATTCATGGTACATTAAACCATTAATGATAAAAATTAATTTATTTAATGAGATGTGAACAATGTAGTTGGTAATTATTTCTTGTAGTCTCTCCCGCTAATTGTAAAGTGAACCAGGATGAAAGGTATAATTTGGAAGAAAATGTTTAATTTTGGTTACATTGGCAAATGTTAAGAAAGAGAGCTCATGTTTCCTTTTCTAATATAAATTTATCAAATTCTAGAGTGAGAAGGGATCTTAGAAATTATCTGGTCAAACTTGTTCACTTTATTTCTCTATGAGATTAATGCCCAGGCAAGTCGAGTGACTGGTTTTTTGTTACACAGCTGATTAGGGATTTAAGTGGAAATTGATCCAGAAAATGCCTGACCTTGGGTCTAGGACTTTTTTCACTGTGTCATATTACCTTTATAATAAAATTCAGTTCAAACTGAGTTTTATATGTTTGGGCTCACTACAGCTGTGGTTTTCCAGTGCTTCCCAAAATATTTAGAGAAAAATAAACTAGTGTTAATAAACATGTGACAGCGTGTTAAATTGGATTTATAAATTGTATTTGGATCCATCTCTTTAGCTAATATATAAAGAATATTGCAGCCAAAATCTCTCTCTGCCATCCTAATTCCAACTGGCTTTTTCTCTCTCCCTCTGTTTCTCATCTGTGTCTTAAGTAAGGCAGTGGGGGAAGGAGGTGTTTTTTCAAGTCTCTATTGAATTACAACACTGTGATAGTTTTATAAAATTTGGTTCAAAAGACTTCCCACTCTAAGTTGTTGATTGCCATGTAGATACATAAAAACAAAGAAGATAATACTAAGAAAAGATTTGGTAGACAAGAAATTATTAGTATGTCTGTGAATGTTTATCTAAGGTTAATGTGCATTTCTGACTATGGATTGTATGTTTAGCTCTATAGCCTATAAGAAATTTAAAAATCTCCAAAAATTACTATTTCTTGAGGAGTAGAGCAGGCACATTATTTTACTTATTAATTGTATTATAATTACTGTTAATGCTTTAAATAACACAAGCTACTTTAAGTAGCAACACAACTTTTGACAAGTAATGTGTTAATATTAACAATATTAATCAAGTAAATAAAAGTGGCAAAGAAACCAGATTTGCATAATAAAGTATTTCCAATTTCTTACTGGGGGTTTTAAAATAATTATTTCTTTCCGTTTGACTATTGAAAGAGTGTAATCATTTAAATCAAATTGATTTTTTCCTATTTTTGCTTAGCATGTCATATATAAGAAAGTTTTTACAATTGAGTCTAAATTTCTAAAATTATTATTACTCAAAAAATAAAAGTGTATTAACTTACGGCCCTGATGTTTTCAAAATGTCCACCTTCTTTCTCGAAATCAATAGGCTGTCCTTTTAGTGTCCAGTAGAAAGTGACATCCAAACTAGCATCGTGAATTGCTTTGCAATTAAGAACGATGCTTTCTCCCACTGTTAATTCTGTTCTTTTAGGAGTAAGTTCTATTCTTGTAGGTTCTATAGAAATAAAAATGAATTGATTAACAATGAGCACGTAATATTTCCCTGCTTTCTATATTTTAAATAAAAGAGGAAAGCTTAAACAAGGAATCTTATTCTAGCTCTACTGTTGGAAATAGCACGTTCTGATGAAGCACCATTCTTAACCATAACCGATAACCTTCTTCTAAGTAATCACTGAGAGGAAAGTGTGAGCAAGCAAGGAATGCCACTATAAATGTTAACATCTTAGAAGTCAGGTATTTCGTGTGGCAGTCTAAGTTCTGTCTTCATCAGAGAAGACAGATAATCACCTATGCTGTAGTATAAACTTTGTGCGAATTAGAATATTCCATGGAAATAAGTATTCCATTTATCTCACAATTAACAGAAAACATTTTTGTTATTACATAAAAAAAGTCTCTGGATCCAGCATTACCTCACTATGAAAAAGATTGATTATTTAGCATACAGAAGGGATAAGACAGACTGGAAGGAGAAGACTGAGTTAGATTCTTATAACGTATGCTATAAATGAAGACATCTTTTAAATTATGTTTCTTCCTTCCGCTGATGTTTGCTTCTTCTGTAAAGTATCAGAGTGCTGGCTATTCTAATTACTTTTCTATTTCTAAAGAATGAAAATTAACATTTTCCTATTTTTGTTGCCAAAGTATGATTCAATATATAATACATGCACACATGGAAAAAAAATTTAAGGATCTATAATTCAGTTGTGACAAATATTCCTTTGTCAATCAAAGGGACTGCCTAAGATAGGAGATTTTCTTAGGACTAAACAGTGATATACAGTCTTAAAAGAAGGTTCTAGGCTTGAAATCTCATTCACTTTAGAAACAAAACTAACAAATATTTAAGCAGCAATACTTGTAATATTAAAAAATGGTATTATATAAAAAAATGCCATAATGTCAACATCAAAGAGCAGCTCTGGTGTCAGTTCATCTGATGCGCCCTCCAAACCTCCCATTCATGCCCTCCTCCTGTTACTCCTTTCTGCCCCAAATCCCGTTGAAGTGGTAATAAAGAAATATTACTGTTTAGTGCTAACATTAATCTCGGTAGATGAAAAATGTTTTTATACTGTTGGCATACTTTTAAATTTTGAGATACCAACTAAAATCTCAGAAAGCTTTCTTTAGCCTCTCATGTATTTTCCTCAAAGGAAAATATTTAAATTTCTACCAATAAGGCATTCCTTTCTTTATGTCCCCTAGCTAATGGAAAAGGTCAATTTGGCTGTGTTAGTTCTATTTTTATAATATATTTTATCAATAGGAGCATGCACACACATACGTGCAAACACATATACCTGCATATTATATTTATTCACTTTCTGATAAAGCCATGAAACGATGCTTATGAAATATTTAGCCACATTTTCTTACCTTTTACAGATACTGAAGCTATGATTTCAGCAGAACCAAAGACATTTTCCCCTTGGCATACGTACTTTCCCTCATCTGATTTAGAAGCATTTAGGATCCGTAGGCTCCCGTCTGGAAGAATAGCTATTCTGAAAATTATTAAAAAAGGGTTTTTTTCCTTTGTTTTACTGCAAATCAGCTAAGTAGTAAGAAACTCTGATGAAGTCTGAAACCACTTCCAAGGTAATAATAAGTAAGATAAAAGATTGCTGTGAAAATATGCAGTGATAGTAGAAATGCTTTACTCTTTAAAAATTATGCAATAAACCCACTTAATATCTTCTCATATTTAAAAGGGTTAGATACTTACAGGTTATTTTTCTTTTGATACTTTTTTGACAGTTAATTTTAAAACTTGTGGAAAAGGTGACCTTGGATTTGGTTATTAAAACTTATACTATAGTATCACCAGCAATATTTTAATATTAAGCTTGGGTATTTCACCTCAAACCAAAAGTGACCTCAAAAATCAAATAAAAAAAAAGAAACAGCATAAAAACATAGAGGAGGACAGGTACAGAACATAAAATTAATTGTGTACAGCCAACAGATGATTTATGGCAGTTTCTCTACAATGCCACTTGTGCAGCAAGGGTATTAAGTTGAGGCCTGATACCTGATAACTGGGCTGCTCGCACTTCACTTTTTAAACAGAAAAACATGATAGCTGAGTTTGCATTTGGGCTTTTTTGAGACCTTTGTTAAAAGTAAACCTTAATTCTTCTATGAAGGTGAAAAATTACAGCATTATTAAAAATTTTTCGAACTTCAGTGAAAATGAGTTTGACATTTAGGATCACTCTATTCTCCCGTGTAGTCATCATTCCAGAAATACACAGATTTAAATTAAATGAGCACTTCTGTCCTTTCTTTCTACTCAGCTATTGACATTTAAGCCATTATTTCATTGGTGCGTCAACCTACTCAAGGAACCTGAAACATAACAGAAGTGGCTGTTGGTAGTTTTAGTTGATATGCCACGGGAGTTTGGACTGACTTCTTTTAGGAAAGGGAGTGTAACAGACCGTGCTGCTTATGGTAAGAACCAGTGACGCCACTGAACTAGAAATCCTAAAATTGGATCCTCCTAGTCCTGAAAATAGTTCATTCTATAGCAATGTGATAATATCAGACTATTTAAGATACAAGAATGGCTGAACCTGTTTAGTCAGCATCCTTTATGTTATTCGGAAATGTGTATTCAATCTTGCCAATCACCCGGAACTGCGAATTATTGAGATCACTGAACTTCATAACAATTGGATTAGATTCTATGATGCTGAATATTGCTTGTGAATTTGTACTTACATATAGTCATCAACAAAGATACCAGTTTAATATCATATTGTTTTTAATATTGATCAGAATTGATTTACAACATGTAAGAATGGGGATAAATTTAAAAGCAAAGCAAACTAGGAATAGAGAATTTGATTTTATGTCTAGGAGGGATACTAACTTGAGATATTTGGAAAACACAGTGACCTCAAAAGATATATAATCTATTCAAGATGGCCAACGAAAAATTATGTTCATTTATTTAGGCAGTGCTCAGTTTCTATAAAAATGGAACATAATGTACTTATTCCATTTCAATCACCAAAATACAATGCCACATAAAAGACAAACTTGAAAGCAAAAATTACACTTTTTGTAAATAAATAGGCATTCTCTTGTGAGAATGACAAACTTTATTGAAATTTAACTAAATGACTATAATATGTGCAGATTGTCAATATCTTGAAAATATCTGGGTTTTACTGACTGGTATAAATTCTAATCTAGCAGGTAAGAAGTTTGGCTTAAAATTCACCTCCTTTAAAGAAATAAATGCGTCTTAGACACTGGCAGTATTTCAGCTCTTGATTTAAGGTAAGTCCTTTCTCACCGACAGCATGCAATATATTATATTTTCCTTTTAAAGATAGCTTATGAACACTCGTACTTTAGGCTACTGATACACTGGGGGATAAAGAATTTTAAATACATTATGTTTTTTATCTGTCAAGTGGCAGTGTCATTTAACCAAAAGCCTGTCTACTGATTCATATTGTACACCCTTATCAGATGAGCTCATTTTTTAAACCTTGAAAAGGAAATAAATGATTAGACAATGAATGTGATTTATATTATCATGTCTGGCTATTGCATACATGATTACTAGATAGCTGAATATTGAATACATATTTCCTTGCAATTTCCCACCTTGATCTATCTTCTTGCCTCTGCTATTATTACTATGTGACTCCTACATTTGGAATTTTCAGATTTGGGGATTGATTCTGCTGAGATATCCTTAAACTTGGAATAGGGTGGTGAGGGAGTAGTGAGGTGAGGGTCTGTTGGAGGTAGGGAGAGATCTTAAAATGCGAACCAGCATTCTAACACTCATTATCAAGTCATGCTTAGTATATTCTGGTCTCTTAATTTCTCCATGAGCTTCTGCCTAATCTGGAGTTTCTCATGAGTTTCCTGGCTCTCATCTTGCTGTACTGAGGGTATGATAGGCATATTGTAAGCTCACATGTTTCAAGTGTATACTTTGAAAAGTTCTCACATATAGAATCAGTTGTGAAACCATTACAACAGTCAAGACAGTCAACATAACACACTCCCAAAGCATCTCTGCTCCTTCATATTCTCTTTCCCAAGCCCCTTCTCGCCCTACCCTTATCACGGCACAACTATTGATCTAATTACTCGAGCTAAATTTGCACTTTTACAGGATGTTATAGAAACAGAATTAAAACATTATGCATATATTGCTTTTTGTTTTGTTTATTTCACTCAGCGTAATTGAGATTAAGTTAAGATTCACCTACAAATTATCAAGAATGCATTCCTTTTTATTGCTGAGTTGTATTTCATTGTGTGTATATACCACAACTCGTTTATCCATTCACGTTTGGGTGGACATTTGGCTTATTTTCAGCTTGGGGCTAATACAAATAAAGCTGCTATGAATATTTGGGTAAAAGCTTTTTATGGATATTTGTTTTTATTTCTTTTGGATAAATTCTTAGAACTATGATGACTGCATCATCTGGTTTATGTTTAACGTTTAACTTTTTAGGAAACTGCTGTGGTGTTTTCAAGTGGTTGCACTACTTCATATTCCTAGCAGCTTTACATATGAGCTCTTACAACACTTGATATGGTCAGTCATTTTAGTTTTAGCTATTACTATAAGGAGGTACTAGAATATCCTCAGGGTTTTAAAGCGCATTTCCCTAATGACTAATGAGTGGTGTTGAGCATTTTTCAGGTGCTTACTTCCCATCTGTGTTTCTTCTTTGGGGAAGTGATTGTTCGAATATTTTACCAATTTTTTTCTTGAGCTGTTTTCTTATTGAGATTTGAGAGTTCTTTTTATATTCCAGATATAACTCCTTTTTCAGGTATGAGATTTGCAAATATTTTCTGCCAGTTTGTGGCATGTCTTAGCGTTTTTCTAACAGCAGAAGTTCTTAATGTTGAAGAAGTCAATTATCCATTTTATTTTATGCTTTGTGTTTTTGTACTAAGAAATCTTTACATAATCTAAAGTCACAAAGATTTTCTGCTTTGTTTTAGAAATTTTATAGTTCTAAGTTTTACATTTATGTCTATGATTCATTGTGGGTTACTTTTTGTTTATGCTCTGAGGTATGAATCTAACATATTATTTATTTATTTTAGATATGGTAAACGAATTGTTCCATGCTATTATTTTGAAAAGATTATGTTTTCTCCATGACCTTTTTACCACTGTCAAAATCTATTGGCCATAATTGTGTAGGTCACTTTCTCAACACTCTCTTCTGTTCCATTGATCTGTTTATCTTTCTTCATGACAAAACCAAACCGTCTTGATTACTGTATCATTATGATCTGTCTTGAAGTCAGGTAAGTTAAGACTTCTTACTTCTCTCTTCTTTTTCAAAACTGTTTTGTCTATTCTATGTTCTCTACATTTCCATATGAATTTTAGAAATAACTTGTCAATTTCTAAAA